TATGAGCTGCAGGTTGGCAAAGGACCTAGATGCTGACTGCAGGACAAGCACGGACGAGGATTCTGGCAGACCCCCAGGTTTCGAGGAAGATACAAGGGTTGGTTAGGAAGGGGTTGATCACCCTCCTGAGTTCGTTACTTTAATTTCAGGCCATAGTCACTGTGTTCCAGCGCTTTTGGTCATCAAAAAGCTAGGTAGGAAGGAAGGAACTAACTGCTGGGCTTGGAATCTGAGGATAGCAGAAAGGACTACTGACTAGGGCAAGGTTCGTAAGAAACAAGGAGATGCGGTTTCCGGTTGTCTTGAAGGAGTGCAAAAAGGGCTACAAGCAGCATTCAGATCTAAACTATGGCATTTGAACATTGAGACCACAGATAAAAGACTAATCCAATGCATACAAGGAGAACACATTGGATTGCAGGAAGGAAGAGTGCTTTCTTAGAGCATAAGGAAATTACTTCCAAACTTTCATTGTATTTCTGTTAAATGTATAAACTGTAGAGAGTAGCTTCTCTACTTTTCCGGCTGTCAAAAAAAAAAAAAAAACCAACCCAAGTAAAAGAACTACTCATAAATCATAATAAGTTGCAAAACTAAAGGAAATAATAACTAAGAACATGAATTCAAATTACTAATTTAACATTAACAAGTTAATAATACTAATAATAAAATAATAAAAAAATTAGAAAAGATACAAAAATAATTAATTAAAGCAATAAAGTGAGAGAGATAGTAAGAAATTTTCATTGATATTGCAAGGTGTAATATTCAAATCTTCAAGTCTTCTTCCTTCAACTCTACATATTCCAAGCTTTTTAAACAATTTTTCTCACTTTCTCTCTCTAGAAAATAAGAGTTTCTCTCTCTAAAAACCCTAACCAAGATAAAAACTACAAAAAATTTCTCTGCCTTACAACTAAGCTAAGGGGGCTTTTTTTATTTTTATTTTTTAAATTTTAAGCGGGCTTTTATATTACCCTTAAATTACATAGATGGCTCTGTAAAAAAATCGCAGAAAAATAGAGGCCAGCCTCTCGAAGTGACATGAAAGGCCACGCCACCTTAATATAGGTGATGGGAAAAATATTTAGCACTAGAGAAGCGTGACCTCTCCAAAGGATAGTCGCGGGCACACCAAGTGCGTCAGCGCTTTAGGAAAATCTTCAAATAGTCATAACTTCTTCCATATTTGTCAAAAAAAGATGTCTCCACATACTCGTTAGAAAGCTCTTGAAATGAACTTTAATCTACAATTTTAATCACCTCAAAATATAGAGAAGCCAAAAAATTATGGCAAGTTGAATTTGACCTATGCATAAAAGTCCTTCCTAAACTCTTCCAATTGCTCTTATTTCATCTCCTAGACATTCTTTCACGTTTCTTTCGTAGCTCCATCAAACCGCGCTTGTCTCTTTCCTTGTCCTTACATCTTCAATCAGTCTATAGACTTCATGAGTGTCAAAAGGTGCTAAAATGTATCAAAATACAAACAAAACCCGTGAAGCATAGTATACACAAAAATTGCATAAAATAAGAGTAAGTAATGAACTATGATGCGAATTTATCATGAAAAAAGGTTCAAAATACCCTAAAATCATACCAAATAACAAGTAATTAACTTCTTCTGTGTTTAAATTAATGAAACGTTTTGACTTTCACGGATTTTTAGGAAGGTGAGCTGAATTTATTAAAATAATAAGTAGTGAGGTATAAGTTGAGGAGAGGGAAAAGAGCAAGGTTTTGTGGGGCCATTAGTTAGTAGGATGTATCAAAAATTGAGAATATATTATTAAAAAAATAGAGAAAAATTACTAAAAATAATATGTTTCATATCTAAATACAGATGGAAAAGAAAAACGTTTCAATTATTTAAACAAGGAGGGACTTTATGATAAAGTTTATGATTTTCATCCTTGTTTATTACTTGAATTTTTATTGTAAAATAAACTATATATTTTTTTCTTTTTCATTAGTACAAAGTGTATGTATAAAATTTTTAATATAAAAAAAATAATACTTCATCCGCCTTTTTAGTAAGATTCAACACTTTCTAAAAATAAAAGGAAATTTTGTCAAGAATATTATGACCTTTGTCCGGTCTTCGAAAAATAAAACGACCTTTTGATTATCCCGGAATAAAATGACCTGTAACATACATCTTCCATAAATGGGGCGAAATCGGTTGTGACCTGCTTAATGGGTTAAGAGTGACACGTTTCACTTTGTAATTGGTCAGTTGTTTTTTTAGTAATTTTCTTATTTAAAAAAATTAATTTTGATAAAAAATGATTATTTTTTTTTTTAAAAAAAAAAAACCCCTTTGCCCTTACAGCCCCCCATCCCCGTGAAGTGAACCCCCACCGTAGCCTCCACCAGTAGTGAAACCCCCCCAACCCTCACCTATGGCCTCCACTAGCCATGAAATTCAACCTCAATCGACACCACGATAACTTTCACCATTGTTACAGCATCCGCCCTTACACTCGCCACCTGCATCGATTCGAAAACACCCAGAACCTCCCTATACTTATTACATTGACTATTACGAGTATTACCCACAAATCAAAGAGTTCCAAATGAACAAATCTCTCTCAATCTTTCATCAAACACCTTTCATGCAAAACCCATTTCCCACATAATCTGATGATCCATACATATGTAGCATTTAACACAAACAAATATTATTCATACCCAAGTTTTAATCCATGAACATGAATCTTTTTACCCTGCAAAACATCTAAAACACGACTACATGGCTTAAGAACAAATTTAAAAGTCAAATTTCCCAACCCATAGTTTCTCATATCATTATACATTTATACATATAAATTGCTTTAATTGGATCATCACTTTTGGATAATACCTTTATCAAATGATTCCATATTAACAATGGGGGTCGTTGAATTTGATCAAACACAATCTGGGCTTTGTGTAATGTGGTTGAGGAGAGAGAATATCATGAGCGCAAAACTAGATAAATTGAATCAGGGTCTTTGTGTTTTTGGGTTTTGATTAAATGACCATAAAGCTCTTTAATGGTGTCCGATCGATTGAGGTTGGGGGAAGACATGGCTGGCGGATATGTTAAAGGAAGAGGGTGGGTATTTTTTTATTAAAAAAAACAGTTATCTTAATTAAAAAGAAAAATGTAAAAATTTAGATAAAAATTCATAACCTATCACTATGCAACATGTGTCTAGGGTTAACCTTTAGAAGAGGTTACCGGTTATTTGATCTATTTATGGAAGATGTATGTTAAAGGTCATTTTATTCCGGGATAATTAAAATGTCGTTTTATTTTTGGAAGATCGGGCAAAGGTCATAATATTCTTGACAAATTTTCCAAAATAAAATTTTTAACAAGATGTATCACTTTTTTCTTTTAGTTAATAAGTTCTCTATCCCTCTCCTATCACATTCGCCCCCCCCCCCCTTTTTTTTCTCGATCACTATCTCTCTATTCCAAAATTTTCCTAAACGTCAGCTAAGGGTGCTTATGAGACGAGACAACCCGCGAGCCACTGGAGTTTAACTTGGCCAAAACTCGACTTGAGTGAGCTCGACTCAAGCTTGAGATTTACTCGAAATGTTAATGAGTTGAGTCGAGTAGCTAGGGCTGGGATTTCTAATTTTATTTTAAATTTTTAGTTGTTTTTTTTTGGTTAATTAGCTCTTGACACGTGACAATTATAATATTAATAAAAAATAAATTAACCTTTTCAACAGATAACCGATAATTGGGATTGAACAAAACAAGCAACCCCTCGAGATTTTTAGTCAAATTATTTCGAGATTAGGAAGACTTTGACAAATTTAAATATTGGATTACTTTTTAAAAACCTCTCTTCTCTCCTCCTTCCTCTCTCCAAAACTCTAGCCTCTATTGTTGAATTTTAAAGGGGCTTCCATCGGTTTAAACCAGTAAAAAGCCCAAATCCTATTTCTTTAAAGTTTTTTTTTTTAGGTTTTATAATAATGCTTCTTCCTTTTGGGAGGAATTTTCTCCCTCGAAAGAAAGGGTGTCCGATCTCTTTCGAAAGACAAGGGTTTTTCAACCTCCTTCGAAAGACAAGGTTTATCTCCCCTTTTCAGGGGAGAAATTTCTTAGTTTTGAATCCATGATATTATATCTAATGAATTGTCGTGAAATTATTTCGTTGTTAAAAAAGTTATCAAGTTTTCGAATGCAAACAGATGAATCCGAGGAAAAACATCCTCACGCCTACAAAGGATCGTTAGATTGTCTCTCCAACAATGCTGTATTTTCCAGCGATAGGGAGATGTTCCATAGTGCAAGATCTACTCGACGATCGTAGTTTTTATGAAGGAAAAATTTATTTGATTCAATATCTTATGTATTTGTTAACGTCGATCTATATTGTAGATGTCCTATGACTTTTAATTAATAAAATATTTTTGCTAATTCAAAAAAAAAAAAGCAACTCCCATAATAATCCAAAATTGGGATTATTAAAAAAAATATGGAGCTTGGGTATTATTTACAATTTTTCCAACTAGAAAGGGGATGCACTTGTAGTTACTACTTAGGTCCTGTTTGGCAAAAGTAGCGGTACCGGGTAGCTTTTAGCGGTCGAGTAGCAGGTAGCTTTTAAGGTGGCGGGTAGCGGTCAATTAGTAGTGGGTAGAGGTTAGCTGTCAAAGTAACGGCCGATGACATAAGTATTTGGTAAAAGTAGCGATTGCAATTTGCAATACTAAAATATATCAAAATTCATATAAATATTGTTTAAAAAGTATTTAAAAATTGTCAAACGCTACCCGCTACTTCTAAACACTACTATTTTTAACGTTTGAGAAAAGCTATCCTAAACGCTATCGCTAATTGCTACTAGAATCGCTGTTTTGTCAAACACTCAAATATTTTCTTTTTGTGATAGTGTTTTGACCGGTTAAAACGCTAACCGCTACCTCAAGCGATACTACCAAACACAGCCTTAGCTTAGATTTGGCGGTTCTCTCCTCTCCATGAGCTTAATCACATCTTAAAAATCTTAAAATTGCAGAAAATCCATAAAAATGGTAATTTCTATTGGAAGAACAATTCGAAGGGGATGCACCCTGCAAATGCTGCAATTCTCAGAATTTGGTCACGAAATTTCATTGTTAAGATCCCACCACCGCCTATACCACCAGAAACACCGCCGTGCATATGCTTTCCTCGCCTCACATTTCGTCGGAAAACTCTCCAGTAATTCTAAAATACCCACTTCTGGCGTTTACTTTCTGCATTCTTATAGAACATTTTCTTCTTCTTCATACACATCTGGGTCCAAGTATGGTGGTTTTCTACAATGGTATTTGCGTATGCTTGAAACTCGTCCATATATCACCAAGGCCATCTCTTCTTCCTTTATTTTTGCTGCTGCTGATTTTACCTCTCAGGTAATTCTTAGTTTTCAGTCTCATTACATTTTCATTTTGCAATTATTGTTTTTTTATTTTTTATTTTTATTTTTATTTTTATGATTGTTGCTGTGTGTGTGTTTGTTAAAACTAGCATAAATCAAAGTGTAAAGGGTGTTTGTTAACACTAGCATAAATCAAAGTGTAAAAACTAGCATGAATATAGATATGCCTTCTTAAAATTACTAGTATGTCACTATGCCAAGAGAGAGCAATTGAAAATTCAAAGCAAATTACAAGTAAATTATCAATATATCAAGGAAGCTGAGAATTATCCTCTCTTTGTCAAAAAAAGAGAATTATCCTCTCTATTCTAAACCACCAATTTCGGGTTAAAGCTGAACACCAAAATTACATTTCTTGGCAAAAAGGATAAAAGGCAATTCTTCCTAACAAATGACTCTTATCATTTTGGACAGCTACATGACAATTACATTTTTTTTTTAATCCAATGCTAATCGCTTGACATGAGCCACAATGATTCAGAGTAGTTCTAGGATGGTTAACCTCCTGGGATGTCATCATGTTAATTCATGTAGCCAACCCCAATTAAGGGATTAAAGTGTTCAAGTAGAAGAAGAATAATGCTTATAATTGCTGTGGATTGTCACCGGATGTAAGATTCTTTTGTGGTTCTTTATTGTGACCATATGAGGCTACAGACAGCATTCAAATTGATGCTAAGATATAGGGTATTTAAGGGCTCGAATTGCTACCATTAATCAATTTTGATCACCACTTGATTGCATCTTGATTTTGCTTGAATGAGACCTTGTAAAATAGCTTGGCATTCTGCTTGGAGCACATCTTCGTGCATCAATTATTTATCACCTTCTTCGTGCATCAAATATTTGAGGATGGTTCGATGTTTATCGTCTTGGAAGTTGCAAAAACATCATTTCAGCTAAGCTAAGATATAGAGTATACAATTTTCAAATGATTTTCATCAATATGATCAGTGTCTGTCTTTCCACCATTTTGTAACAATGGGCAGGAAAAGGCTACAGTAGTTTCTTAATAGGAATGTTAGGCTTTTATAACACTTCAAAAGATTCATGAAGGGAATCTAGGGACCTCTGATTTGTCAAGGCACCATTTCAAGAATTTTATACATTCTCATAAGCAGTGAGGCAATCATTTGCCGGAACAAAGCCTAGTATTTTTATTTAAGCATGAAGTTTTCTTTTGGCCCACAAGATAATTGGTGCATATCATATAGTTTTCTCTACGAAGAATCAAATATTGGAAGGCTTCATTGCCTCATTGGAAGCACATTTCCTCTTTAAATTTTATTTGAAGGCTTTTGCATTCATGAGTAAGTTAAGTGATTTATTGACCTTGCATTGCTCCAATGATTTTGAGAAAATTAAACCTGTACTGTTTGTCATTGTGTTGACAGTATTGAGGTGAATCACACGACCATGTGTTTACACTGGTTTGGAGCTCCTGCATATTACGATTTTTAGGAATTCCTGTTGTTGATCAGATATAGTGACATTACAATGTTAAGAGAGACTGTTGTAGTTGTTTCTATCGTTAAATAAACTTATGGTCTTAGGCTAACCAGGGGGTGAGAGGGCGTAAAGAAAGACTATTCTGATGACTAATGCAGATTTATTGTCTAATCAGAATGTGGAAATTTATAAGAAGGGAATAAAAAATAACAGGGCAAGCAGCAGCTAGCTGTGGGCAGACCTGAGGGCGTGGGCGCAGCCACCTGGTGTTCAGGTGCAGTTCAACTGACTGCTCTCCGCGGCTGCTGCTTCTACGATATGATGTTGCTGCTACTTTGTGGAGGTTGTTGGCTGCGCTTGGGAGCATTAGGTGAGGTCTTTTTTATTTTATTTGGTGATTCTTAGGCTGCCATAAGGTGCTACAAATTGCTGCAATGCTGCTGCCTTTTGTTGTCTATTGTGAGGGCTTGAAATTTTGGGCTGCTGCAATTTTGTTTCTCTGGGACTGTCTTTGAGCATGGAAAGGTGGTAATTAAGAGGGTGCTAGGATCTGCAAAGCTTTCTTGGAGCTGCGGCTGTAAAGGCTGCTGTTCGATATGCTTGCGATTGGTGTAGGGAAGCTAGGAGCTTAGATGCTTGTTGCCTTGGCGCATAGTCGATGTAGGGGCCGTGGGCACCTATGAGGCCGTGCCCATGCTGCCCTTGTGTTCCCTATGCAGTGGCAAACCTCCTTAAACTTGCACAAGGTCATGACCACATCCCTGCATGGCCTATGCACGGCATACTAGCTTTTTTCTCCTTTCACCCTTTCACCCTTCCATTCTTCCATGCATCTACAAGCTTCCGTCCTTGAACTTTCTTTGAACAATTCAGCATGGAAAAACCTTCAAACGTACACATAAATATTCAAACAAAGCATGGGTGATAGAACAAAGGAAAATGCATTAGATGAATAAGGAATTCGAGAATAAACGTGCATTCCTCTTAACTATCACTTAAGCATGTACACATTTGTTTATTGAACTAAAAAACCGCAAAACAAACTAAAAAGAACCAAAACTAAGCAAGAAACCTATTCCTCATCATTGTGGTATAAAAATCCCGTCTCTTTTTCTTTGTACCATAATGGTAGCTGCATAGCTCCAAGTCTCTTTTTCCATAACACTCTAACACCTTACATTGAAAACATCTTGTCCTCTTGCTTCTACTTGGAAAACATCTTGTCACCTTGCTTGGTCTAAGATATGAAAGTTTAGTAGTTTTGTGTTCATTATAACTTGAGTTGAATGTGTTATCTTTACTTCTTTTTAGCGTTAGCTTGGGTTGCATAGCTCTGCTATTTATCTTTTCCAAATTGTTAGCAATTGTCATGTAGTTCAACTGATTCATGCTTTAAATTTTGCTAGATCATTACATTGCCACCATTGGGGTCATTTGACTTATTCCGGACATTGCGTATAGCTGGATATGGATTGATAATTATGGGACCATCTCAACATCTTTGGTTCAATTTTCTCTCAAGGATCTTGCGTGGAAGAGATGTATCTACTACTTTGAAAAAGATATTTATGGGACAAGCTATTTATGGACCGATTATGAACAGCATTTTCTTCTTCTATAATGCAGCTCTTCAAGGTAGAGTCCTTGACATCCTCTGAAAACTACTGTAATTGCTGATGAGAATTGGTAGCTTGATTTTTTTTTTTTTTTTTAATTTCTTTTCCTACAGAGACCATTATGCCCTTCCTTGTGCTCAGGAGAGGCTCCTTTCTTCTAACTTCAGTCCTTGTGTCATAGTTCTAGATATTCATTTTGCAATGAACTTCACTGTATGCTGATTGCTTACATAATCATCTTAACTATTGCTAGGTTAAGTAGAAAAGAATGGTAGAGGGATTGGAATGATATCTGGGAGCTGTTTGGATAATTTAAGTTCCATTTGAGTAGCACATTGTTATTTTCAATATTGATGAACCTATGGAGGTCTGGGAAAAAAAAAATTGAGTTTTTGTATCTTATGTGTTATACTAACAAAATGGAAACTAATGGACTTTGGTATCGAGGGTCCAGCTCGGTCATACTACATCACTCCATGCATCATCATCTAAACACTTTCAATTAAACTCATTTTTATTTAATGGTTTGTTAATGTTCCCAAAGTCACTCCTGGATAAAATATAAAAGTTTTCATTTTCTTCTTTTCTCACTCCATTATGACCCAACAAATTTTCATTGATCTTGTAATGCTTTTCTTATGCGTGTTATGCAGGTGAAACTAGAGAAGAGATTTTTGCAAGACTGAAGAGAGACCTTCTCCCAACTTTGATGAAGGGTCTTATGTATTGGCCATTGTGTGATTTTCTAACATTCAAATTCATACCTGTCCACCTGCAGGTACTTTCTAAAACTTTCAACCCTTTTTTCTATCATTTAGGACAAAAATCTGTTAGATATATGAAATGAACAATGCAACGAGTCTATGTGGCTGTTTAGTTTGAATTTAGGTGCAGTAGCTACTGAGTCAGATGGAATTTATGCATGGTGTATGTTATGTAAAAAGCTTTTATTTGTCTACACCTCTAATATAGGTTGCAATTCCCCCTGTTTGCTTGCAGCCATTGGTAAATAGTTCTTTTGCCTACATGTGGACGATTTATTTAACGTACATGGCTAGCTTGAAGAAAGTTGGCGAGGATTGATTAAAGAGTTTGTCATAAAAGTGGTATTTATGATACTTGGCTTGGTACTGGAGTGAATTTTGATCAATATTTGAGTTTTCAGGTTTAATATTTCAGACTTCAGAGTTGCATTCAGTGTCTGAATGGATGCAATATATTTTTGGATAATATGTAGTGTAGGCTTGAACTTCAATTATGAATAAGGAATTTTGTTTATGGTTGATATATATTTATTTATTTAATTTTTTTGCTTCCTTTGAGAAAAATACACGAGTATAAACTTGCAAGTTGCAACATCAACATGGATAAGTGTTGCGATTCATATAAATATTTTTAGAGAATGAGTCCAACAATCTATACACCATCTATATATGAGAAGTTTGGAGTGCCAAGTCAGTTATGGCTGATTTTCATTGTATTAGTTATAGTGTCGAGTCGGTTGGAGGGTGACACTCTTTGTCAAAAAACGAGAAGTTTCGATTACAGTTGAAAATGAAAAGACAATTTAGTGCTTGCCCTTTTGTGCCACATCAACATTTTCTATTAGCTTTCTGGCTTCTCCTGCTTTCCCAAATTCCATCACAGCCATGTATCGTATGTTCCTTTCACGTCATCAATGGGTTATTGATCTGATCACAACATGTTTCTTTGTCCTAAATTTGGGTTGCTTTTCATTTTTGCTTGGTTTGTAATCAGCAATTCGATGTAGACAGGTATTTTCTCTTTGGCTTTCTTTTGATTTTTTTTTTCCTTGTTTATAATCTATAATTTCTGGGTTGGATCTTTCTCTGCTACTCGATTTTCTTTTGAATTTTGTTGTTGGAATTGGGTTTATATTCAAGTTTAGGTGTATTTTTTCGGAATAACGTGAATTGATTTTTGTTTGTTTGTTTGATTGATTGATTTTGTGTCAAATTTAATATGTTTTGGTCATTGATTATGATTTGATCGATTCGAATTTTGTGAATTTTTTTCAAGTAGTTTGCTCAATTTTCATCACGATTTTTATAGGTTTATAGCTGATGATTAGAATTATTGTTGTCAAGGTTTTCTTCTTTTTTTTCAACAAGTTTAGTTGGTATTAAAAGTCACTAGTTTGAAAAATTCGTGACGATATCTCCCTCGCAAGAAAGAGCCGTGCTCTCTAGGTTTTAGGGTTTTCCTGCCGTTTTAATCGGAAGGCTCGTCACGGAGAGGCCTTATAACGTGGAGGCTTTTAAGTCTACTATGACGAAAGTGTGGGCGCTAAAGGATAAATTGGTGATAAGGGTTTTGGATCCGAACCTTTCCGCTTTTCAATTTTTTCATTGGATGGACAAGGAGAAGGTTATGAATGGCCGTCTGGTGTTTTGATAATTTGTTGTTAGTGCTGCGTGAAGTTGAGGGGGACGAGCAACCAGAAAAGGTGCCCCTCTATCACTGCCCGTTTTGGGTTCGAATCGAACATTTACCTCTTAACTGCCGCTCAGATGAGGATGTGAAGGAGTTTGTGGCAAATTGGGGTGAAGTGCTTGAAGTGGAGGAAGATACTTTCGATTTGGATCGATTTAGAAGGGTTAAAGTCATGACCAATATTTCCAAACCGTTGCGGAGGATCCAGAGAATCCGTGATAAGTTTGGAAAGGAAATTTATGTTAAATTTGCATATGAATGACCCCCGTTCTTCTGTTTTGCGTGTGGTGTGATCGGACACTTGGAGCGGGACTGTTGTATGGTATCGGAAGAAAGTAAGAAAAAGAAATTGGGATGGGGTAGATGGCTCAAGGCCTCTCCTAGGAAGGGTAAAATGAAGGAGAAGGAGGAGCTTGATGCGGTGTTAGAGTCAAGGAAGACATTGTTTGTGCTGCGTGAAGATGCAGAGGTCTCTCTCTCTAATGAGCATGGAGATGATACTTTGAAGAAAGGGCGTCTGTTGGAAGGGGAAAATGGCGAAATTGGGGGTGCCTTGATCCTTAAATATGTTGATAATAATAACGAGAAAGGAGACAAAACTGAAAACAAGAGTGTGGGGCAGGGGAATGAAGCTGTAGTGGATTTAAATGAAGTTTTGGAGTCAAATGTTGCTCATGTTGGAGTGGTGGGGCCTGATGATCTTGCTAGTGGGGATGTGTCTTTTTCTTTTGAGTTTGGTGGGGGTTAGAGTAATACTAAGGGTAGAAATAAGAAGTTTAGGAAGTTAAAAAGGGATAGGGACCAATTTGATACTCATATGGAAGTATATAGGAAGATAGTGCGTTGAGGAAAAGAGCTCGTGATGAAGGCAGTGAGTTTGTGGGGGATGGGAGTTTGAGTAAAAGGGTGGGATTTGTTTAGGGTAATTTTACCCCGTCACGTGGTCCAATCAGAGGATGACACGTGTCAGCCTCAGGATGGCCCAAAGTGGACCAATCCCTGCTTGACACGTGTCACTCCAAAAATTAAGGGAAAAAGGTGGCCTTTAGGCCCAAAACCCGAGAAAGCCGCAAAGCGGCGCAACCCACCAATGATTAGGGTTCAGTGACCTAATCAGGGGCACAAATCCCAAAGACCCTATAAATAGGGAGATGTCCCTCTTTTTGAGGGCACGTTTTTCCATTTATTACACATTTACTCTTTGATAGAGACATCCTGAGCTTGGAATCCGAGCAGAACCCCACCTAAATTTCCGCACCTTTTTTCTCCCTTCAAGTTTCTAACTTGTGCGTCGGAGGCGGAGCACCACCCAACCGGTGTCTCCGTTTGTTTTACAGGTACAACTCACTTCAGATCAGTCTTCGTGTTGTAACTCTCCCGAGGGACAAAAACACCCAAAACATTTGGCGCCGTCTGTGGGGAGAGTACCTCGAAGATGGTTCCAGAGTCTGTACCACCCCCTAACCGTCTGGGCGAAGACCCACAAGTCTTTACAGACCATGAGGATGAAGATCCTCAAGTCGAAACCTTTACAGCCGAAGACGGCTCTCTTAGAATCAAGCGCATCTAGAGAAACTCTGGAGCGGGTGCCTGCAAGTAGACCCCCTGGGCAGCCGGATGGGAAACCCAAACGGCCGCTGCATCAGCCCCTGTCACCCGAGACGAACTCATGAGATTCATGACAAGTTTCAAGGGTGAAATTAAAGAGCTGATCACCCAAAGCCGGGCTGCCCCAAGTATAGGTCAGTCGGCGAAGAAGACTCCTCCAGAGAAGGGGAAGTAAGTCAGAAACCGGCAGCCCACTCCTCATCCAAAGGAGAAGGCAGCCGGGACCATTGATTGGTCAAAAATTCTCCTTCCTAAAAGGAACAACAACACCCGCCGGACTCAGCTGCCGGTGGGAAGCAAATAATCAACTCTTGATGCCCGGGAGATCATAAACCGGAAGAGAAACCAATCGCTGTCTAAGTCGGCTTCAACGTCGAATTTTCCAGACAGCTTCAACAACATTTCTACAGGGAGCGCACCCTCCTTGCATGAAAGCCAGAAAAAAGGCGGTAATACCGTCCATTCTGGCCCTCACATGATTGGAGCGGTACCGTATGTGCCTACTCAGGCTTACGGACAATATCCCCCTCACTTCATGCTGCCGACCCTCTTTGGAGGTCAGGCGACATATCCAAATGTCCAGCCATTGGATTGGCAGCTTCGTCTGCTGCGCCTGGGTGAACAGCCTTTTGCGTTCACCCGGGAGATAACTGAGGCGGCCCAGCCAGCCAAGGTTAAGAATGTATTGGTTGGTACCTATGATGGTACCACCAATCCGGAAGACCACCTCATGGCTTACACCAACCTCATGTATCTGCAGGGGTTGGATGATGCCTTTTGGTGTCGGTGCTTCCCGGCTACATTGAAGGGCATTGCCCAACAATAGTTTGGCAACTTGCCGGCCGGGTCCATCGATAGTTTCAGGAAGCTCGCCTTCCTGTTTGCTTCCTGTAGACACCCATTTGTGTCTCCCCAAATCCAAACCCAATGATGAGTGCCTTTCACGTCGAATCATAATCGAATGAAACGAAAGTGTGGAAAGGTCTAGTGTTGCGGAAAGTTTTCTTTTCTTTTCTTTTCTCTTCTCTCTGTTTTTGAAAACTTTATTTTAAGAAAACAGCCAATCCAGTTTGGTTGGTCCATGATATGGGTCTAATAGTGGTGTAGTTGGATGGGGCTTGCAAAGACCTTTCCAACGATATATTATAAGCCCAATTCCGATGAGTATTGAGGAATTTATGGCCAATTTACTAAACTGGGTCCGGTTTGAGTTTTAAGTACAGCCCAATGATCTAGGGGAGGGCCTAATATGATTTATCATTCCTAATGTAATTAGAAATGGTTTTGGTCTTCTAGAACATTCTAGAAGGTCTTATCATTCTTAATTCAATTAGGACTCTTTAGAGTTTTAATTAGATCAAATAGCATTTTCGACTGAAATTATATTATTTTATCTTCCAGTACGGTAAAATTATCAGATTTTCGAAAACGTGTTAAAAGCCGGTTTGGCGTCCAACCCCACGCCTTGGGGCCTGGAACCAGGATTGGCGCCAGACGCCAGCCATTGGCGCCTGGCGCTAGCCACTGGTCCTGGAGCCAATGAGCCAGGGCTGGCGCCAAGTTGTTTTTGCGATCTTCAGACTCTGTTTTGATAAATTATCTTTTTTGGCTGATTTTCTCTATAAATATCGTATCAAAAACTCCGTTTTGAGGGACGGATTGTCATCTATCATTCACCACTTCTTTTGTTCTTAAGTTTTAATAAATTCCGTTTTCATTCCTCATCTACAATCTTCAATCGTCAACAAATTAGTTTATGAATCATTAATCTTTCGTTCATTCTTTTTAAAAAACTTTATTCTTTAACACAAAATTCCGCATTCACAAGATCTTGATACACCTAGCCATATTCGAAGTTGCCTTTGCCCTAGACATGAAAGGTTTTAATTTCTGAGGGTTTGGTCCCAAATCTCTATTATTTAATTTAATTGCTTTGTTTATTATTTTCCTTGAAGTTACTAACGTGTGTATTTTGTAATTAGAAAGAGGTACGAGGCATCCAAGTAAGTACTTTATTGATTAATTGATTTTATGATGTAGACATCGTGTTTATATTATTATTATGATTCCTAGTATCATGTATAAGGTGATTTTAATATTAAGCATGATTAAGAATATGATGCTTCCTATGTTCTTTCTAACATTTATGATTATGATTGATGATGATTATTCATTATGTTGCTTGATATGCATATTATTATATATTGTTATTGCTTGATCACCTTTTATTGCAGGTTAAAGGGAATTGGTATTTGCAATCACGCTTAATAAGATAATTAATAATCTTGTTAGGTTAATTGTGATTATAATTCAAGTGATCGCCAATAATAGTTTGTTTGTGCATTAAATTCAACCAACATAGATTAAACAGGTTTAGCGTGTGGCGCCACGCACCACAAGCTGGCGCCAGCTGGCGCCAAGTCAGCAGGACAGCCGCACGTGCTCAGTTTGCGTTTTGATATTAAATTGGAGTCGGTTAGTGACTTTATGGCCCCGTTTTAATTTCTTCTAAATAACTTTCTATCTTTTTCTTAATTAATTAAATATAGCAATTATGTTTAGTTAATTTTTTATTCTTTTTTTTTTTTTTTGGATTTTATATTAAAATTCAAAAATCAGCCTTTCTCTCCGTTTTTATTTTTCCTTTTTTTTCCTTTTGGGGGAGAGAGTCGGATAATACCCTCCATCAATAATAAAAATGACGGAATTTTTGCGCAAAATTGTTATCACATTTGCACACACTAACATACACTAACATAATATTAATACATAATAATAGATTTACAGAACAAAGTGTCTAAGTAACAAGTCAAAGGCAAAGTTCTATAAAAAGTCAAAATAAATGCATATACAGAAATAAACTACGGCGCCGAAGGACGTAGGTCCATCATGCCATAAA